TGACATCACTCCCATACTGAGTTAGGGAATTCAGGCCAATATTTTTCAAAATCATTGGACACATCTGCTGTGATCTCATCTGTCTGTCTGATCAGCTGCTGTCCAGCCACACCGGGGATCCAGAGAGGTCCACCAAGCCAGGGCATTCAAGAAATCCGTTAGAGATTGTACCTGATGGTCACCGAGCCTTCCAGAGGCTTGTGGAATTATCTGAGATGTGTGGGGAAAAAATGTATTACTCAAAACTCCAAAATAAAAGAACAAAATCAAAGTTACAAATATTTAAGTAATGTAACATTAGTGAACTAAAATTTACTGCAACGTAGGTATGTAAATGACACTTATGTAAGGTACACTCAATGTGGTATGTGGACGTATCTTAACATGTGGGGCATCATGTAGGCTGGGGCACCCTGAAGAGATCTGTTTCATTAGCACCAAGGCCAGGGAAATATCACCTTGATTACATATTCTATTGTAGCTTTTCTTTCTGTGTAATAAACTCCCTCCCTTCGCTTTTGTGGGTACAGAGATTGCAATGGCTTCTTTCATTTCTGAAATCACAGCCCTGCTAAACCTGGAGCCCAGCTCCTGAGCAGAGAATCAGAAACGGCTCATGGACAAAATCCCACCTGCTGAGCGAGCCTTGCCCCTCAAGAGACGGGCTCCACTGGAGCACATGTGCCCTCCCTCTGTCTGTTACTCAACTGGCCTGCGTGCAACCCCAAGATGTATGAAAGCAACGGACAGTCTCTTGGGTCACTTTGTCTGGGATTTTGCCATCAAGTTGCTTCCCTCAACCCAGCATCCCAGATACTGGAAAATTCCTGGAACCTAAGTCATTTGCAAGTATGTTCATGGCGTTTCTGCTACGGTTGGCTTTCACAGGAGGAAGACATATGTTTGCAGAATGGAAAGAAGATGTGCTTAGAAATCACCCCGATCTACGTCACTCATGTTCGTCTCAGGAAAAGTCCTGTATACCACAGACATCACTTGATGTGAGCTAGACGTAATACTGGGCTGTGAGTTCCACGTTCTGCCACTCACAGGCTTCGTGACCTTATGTAAATTTTCTTCTGAGTCTCAGCTCATCTATGAAATGGAAGAGAGTTGCTTTCATGAGAATTTATGAGTATGTGTCTAATAAAACGGGTGCAATGCCTAACAAACACTGAGTGATCAAAGCACTCAGAAAGATCGATCCTTGCCAGGGACTGAGGGAGGGGGAGGAGGAAAGTGGGAGTGGCTGTGTAATGGGTACAGGATTCCTTTTTGGAATGATAAAAATGTTCTCAAACCAAACCCTGGGGATGGTTGCTCAATATTATGAATGTACTAAATGCTCTTCAGTTACATACTTTAAAATGATTAAAATGGGTAAGTCCATGTTTTACCACAACAAAAGGAAAACAGCACGGGGCTTCCTTGTCCATTCCGTGGAATGAAGGAACACGAGAAGGCAATGAGTATCTGTCTCGAATCCCTCCCATGTGAGCCAAAATTAGGAACGAAGACAAAAACCAGGTACTTGAGTCCCACCATCATGGGAGGAAGTCAGAGCTCTAGGCTGGAGCGTCACTGGTTCTAGCCAACGGAGGGCAGGGCGAGTGAGCCAATGACAGTCTTGTGGTGTTTCAGATTTCAAGGAACCAGCTGAGCTCAGGGAACACCAGCGTGGTGTGCAGCAGGAAGTCGCCCATGAGAAAGGAGAAGGCACGCCTGGAAAGAGTGATTCACTGAGAGAGGAAGGAAAATGTGTCTGAAGAGGAGGGATGACCATGAGGTAGCACGGGATGGTCAGCACGCTGGCCTCTGTGTAGGGTCTGTTGATAAAGGCACCAGGAAGTGCATCAACATCTGTTGCCCACCGCGTCCTGCAGCCTCCTCCCCCATCCCAGGTGCAATTCAGCTCCAAGATGACTTGGATGGGGCCTGTTTGGGGAATTCACAGCTACCTCCCTCCACCTCCGTGCTATGAGATTCTAGACAGGTGTCTGATTTCTCCATCTCTCATATTTCCTCCTTTGAAAAATAGGGAAAAAACCACTTATAGAGCTGGTGGGGAATAGTTCCATGAGACAGGTGAGAAGAAGAACAGAGCCCAGAGTAGACTCTTAAGAAAGGTGTGTTCTCCAAGGTGGAGGAATCCACCAGGGGGGGAGGGGTATGGGAGGGGTGAGGGGAATCCCCAGCGCCTATAAAACTGTACTACATAATACAATGTAAGCAACAATTAAAAAAAAAAAAAAAAAAGAAAGGTGTGTTCTCTTTCCCCTTCACTAATGGCGCATGGCTAGTCACAGATCACAAACTCTTTCCACTAGACCATAAAGTGAGAGAAGATGCAGAAGAAGATCTTGAATGGAGAACAGGAATCATTTTCCATAATTCATGTATACAAAAGATGATACTTGAGACAGAGGCCTGGTTATAAGGGCCAAAATGTGCCATAGACTCAAGAAATTGGAAACCATCCAAATGATTATCAACAAGAAGCTAGATAAATCAACTGTAGTATGCATTAAACATCAGCACAACAATCTTTGGCTCTTTCACTTTAAATGCATAGTAGACCCAGACATAAGCCACAGCACAGGCTCATGGTCATTTCTGATAGGGATCGTGGCTCCCTCCTTTCCCTCTAGGCTCCTGCCAAAGCTGTCTTCTCTTGCTGATAATCTCAGGCATCCCTGGTGTACATTGGTCCTCCGCTACTTCCGGGAGCTTCTTTCTCTTGGGCCAGACTCTAGCTTCTGCACATATGCCTGCTGCTTGCATCCAGTGGTCACCTGTCAGGTCCTCCCAACCCAAGAGCTCAGAAGGAGCTCTTCCGAGTCACAAATAGCACAGCAAACTATCGGCCTCCTCCCCTTCCCTGGGGTGTGTGAGCTCTGCTATCTGTGCCTCTGTTCAGAAATGAGGCACACAGCTCCTGTTAGGCACTCACTATTGGAATCCATCTACTGGAAACTTCCTTCAGTGACCACTCAAAGAGCTAGACGTTCAGTGCAGCTCACTAGAAGAAGGCAAGGCTTTATTCCAACGAAGACAAAGCCGGGAGCCACAAACCTCATCTGCAGGAGCAGAGCCTGGGCTTGAACACGGGGTGTCTGGATTTTGGTCTGTGCCTTGTGGTTGGAGAGGGAAGTGGGTCGGGAGCCCAGGTGGTGACAACCAGCTTTGGGCTCGAGCACAGCCAGCCCAGGAAGCACGGCACAATCACAGCCAGAGACCAGCAAAGCCAAGTTCCAGGTAGGGCAAAGTATTTGGTTTTGTTGTTATGAATGTGTCGTTACCTGGGAGGAGCTGAATGTTGAGGTCAGTTTCTTGGCTATAACTTCAGGAAAACCTTCACTTGGCCCTCCTGAACTGAGACCTTTTGCTGATGCTCAGAGGCTAGTTGTGCCTAGTTGTGGGCATTGAGGACAGCACTGTCCATCTCCCAGGTAGAATAAACAAACATCTTTCCCTGTATTAAGTGTGCTTCATGCATCTCTAAAGACTTTCCAAAAAGGGACATTTGTTATGTCCTGGCTTTTTAAAAGTGAAATAGAGATAAATGTCATAATGTAGCCAAAAAATAGGCTGCTTGGCTGATTAGATAAGACCCATCCAATGTTATCATAGGTAATCTTCTTCAGTTAAGGTCAGCCAATAAGAGATGTTAACTATATCTACAAAAAAAGCCACACCACACAGCCACACCTACATTGGTATTTGGTTGGCTACCTGGACATTGTAGGTCCATCCAAATTGGCTCAGAAAACCAGCTATCACTTCCACTAAATCAAAACTCCAGGAAGGACTGTTGTGTGAAGATTAAGATCCACCACTCTGGGGCCTGGCACAGTAGTCTAGCAGCTAAAGCCCTTTCCTTGAATGCACAAGGATCCCATATGGGCACTGGTTCTAATCCTGGTGGCCCTGCTTCCCATCCAGCTCCCTGCTTGTGGCCTGGGAAAGCAGTCGAGGATGGCCCAAAGCCTTGGGACCCTGCACCCATGTGGGATACCCAGAGGAAGTTCCTGGCTCCTGATTTTGGATCAGCTCAACTCCAGCCATTGCGGCTGCTTGGGGAGTGAACCAGTGGGCAGAAGATCTTCCTCTCTGTCTCTTCTCCTCTTTGTATATCTGATTTTGCAATAAAAATAAATAAATCTTTAAAAAAAATCTACCATTTTCTTGTTCCACTCCACTCATTATAGGCCATCCTAGCAGACGACACTACAAACACTATCCCTATTATGGTTCCCATAAGTAAAATTCCCTCAGGGTCATTCTAGTACTTCTGGGTCCCCTGGCCAGCGGTCAGTCAGCAGGCAGACATAAGCCCAGACTGATGTAAGCAAAAGAGGAAAGTTTGTCTAGAAGTCAGGAATCCCAGCTGCCCCAGGTTCACTCAATGGAGCAAAGCCAGACAGGAGAGTGCGGGGCAAGAAGGGAAAGTCACCCTCACCTTGAACATGTCCCATTCTATCATTCTATGGTCTGTGTTAGCCCCCTGGAATGTGGGTTGGACAAGGGCAGAAGCCTTGTGTGTGTTGATTTCTTAAGCAGCTGGCACACAGCACTGATGAAAATAAATATTTGTAACTGAACCTCAGTGCAGACCACACTCCTCCCTTCAGTCTACAACCATGAATGACACAGGCCTGACACTGAGCCAAGCCCGGATGCACCAAGAGCACAGGCACATGGCTCAGCCAGAGCCTGATTCCAATTTGGCTCTCCTCCCCAGGTGCCTGCACTCTCAGTACTCTGTAAAAGAGAAAGTGGCTTTCATTAGGCCAAATGGCACATCTGCAGGTGCTGGGCACTGAGTGTCCTAGGGCTGTGGCCTGGGAAGAGCAACATCAGCATAGGAAAACATCCACACAGTCAAGATTCAGGTCCTAGCAGGAAGTTTCACACCAGCAACTGGAGCATACCTGGTGGTGGCTCAGATCAAAGATGCAGCTGATTTTTCAAGATGGAGCCAAAAATAGGCACAGCACAGGCAACTTTGGAAAGAGTTTTATTAGCTTCATGGGAAACAGCTGCCATGAGTTCAGCCCTGGATGGGAACAGAGCTCTAGTGGCTTCCAACTGTGAGTGCGGGAAAACACTCACCTTTCCTCTCTACCTCCTTGGACCAGTGTCTAAGTGACAAAACCACCCCTCAGTGCAGGCAGATTCAGGCAGTGCACTCTTGTTGGGCAATAAGTTCTTCTGTCCTGTGGCTAGTTTATGGAATAGCAGAATAAGTCAAATCGACCTCTAGATAATCAGGCCAGTTCTGACCCGGCTCAGCCCCCTCTGTTCTGGATCAGCACTCAGGAATGCAACATTCTGAATTGCCAAGAGGAAACATTCTGGAGGGCCACCAGATTCAGGAGGGCAAAAATAACCCAACTTTCTAGAGTTCCGTATTCTAGAACCCCCAATGGCATTCCAAGATGTCAACGAGGATCCAGCATTCTGAGAGGCCAAATGAGAACCACCCCAAACATTCTGATGAGTGAACCAGAAATTCAGCATTCTAGAACAAAATAACAACATTCCAGTAACAAGTGAGCCGCCAAGTCCCAAATGTCAACCCCAACACACACAGTGCCAGATCAAAAAACCAACATGTAAGGGCTGTCGCAAGCCTGGCCTCATCCTTCCAGAGTGACAAGAACAAGCTCTCCCCTTTAGCATGCTGCCACCCCTGCCCTTCAGAGTTCTGTGGATGGTCGCTCCACAGTGGGCTCATCATCCTGGCTGGAGCTAGGCACACGGAAGGAGACGTAGGGACAGGTCTTGGTATTGAGGCAAACCAGCTTTTTCAGTGTGGCTGTCTTGACGAGGTTGAAGCCCACCTCACCACCAAATGTGCTTGGCTTCCAGTACTCTGGAGAACAGATGGGGTTCCCTAAGAGACCCTTGAGGGAAAAGGGTGCCCCAATCTCGATCATGCTCTCCCCAAAGATGGAGTTCGGTTGGCACTTCTCAAGAAGCAACCCTGGGTAGAATTCCAAGGCATCGATGTCCCCATATAACTCTTCCAGCTCCGCAGCCATCTCAGTCTCTCCTGAAAGGGAGACAAACCACAGTCAGAGCTGTGGGAACCTTCGGTACTTACGTCTTTCCAAGATAAGAGGGTCTCTAGAAGGAAAATTTGGCCAACTAGGAAAATGCCTCAAACTTCATCCTTGGTGATGTTGGAAGAATCAAGAAGAAAAGAAAGAAAAAATGGACCACTAGTCTAGACTGAGTCTTGGGAAAGAATGTGCTACTTAACTGGGCCTGGGTCTCCAACCTAGAAGTGTATAACTTTTCTGGGATCTGATTGCTTGGTCATGTCAACAGGGAGAACACCACCCATCTTTATTCTGTCACAGGCGAGTTTCCAAGTTTCCTATCCTGGTCTGAGTCCATGTAATCCACAAGAGATTAAAAGATACAAGGTACATGTCCAAGCACACACCAAAAGGTAGTGATGGTCTTTCTGCACCTGTGGATTGTTTGTCATGAAAGATGAAAGCCCAGCAATGAGTGAGGACCACATTCCCTGACCCCAGGACCCACCCCTCGCCATGACACCTGTACATGCACAGGTTGAGGAGACAGGTTGAGATCTTCCCTACCATACCCTCAAACTCACTCTTCACCGGACACTGGGCAGAATTCACTTCACATCCCTGCTTCGCTGGCTCCCCAGGACCTGTGACAACGGCTCTTAACTTGGCCACTCAGCATCCGAGCACCTTGGGAAAATGGCATTACATTTGTGTGTGTGTGTGTGTGTGTGTGTGTGTGTGTGTGTGTGTGTGTGTGTGTGTGTAACTGTGAGTGTGTGAGCAAGGAACCTGCAGTAAAATGAGGAAAACATCAAGACAGAGTGGGACCATCCACGAAACTGGAACCCATGCTTCTGGGGGCTAGAAGAGAAGGTGAAGCCAACGAGCTTTTAACTGGATCTGAAGGCTAAACAGAAGTTGAGTTCTCCATTGGTGGCTCTAAGTATGTGTGTGTGTGTACAGATTCTTGAGTAGAACCCAAGTCCATTCTATTAAAGGTGTCTGAAGATTCTATATTCTAATCAGTTTTCCAGATGATTCTTATGCAGCTGGTACACCACTGAACAACATAAAATAAAATAAAATCCAAATCTTTAGCATGGAATCCACAGCCAGACACCAACCTCCCATCGCTAACCAACCCCTCAACATCAATTCTCAACTGTAGCCACACTTAAGACAATCCTACCAGACAGGCACTGACCTGGCCTCCTAGGTTTTTGCACCTCCTATGTGCTGTGTATAATACTCGTGACTCCAATGGGAAAACTTCCATTTGGCCCTCAGGCCCAGCTGCAGAGCCATTGGCTATCCTTCACCACCCCGCACCAACCCTCTGGTTCCCAGAGTCACGGTGCTATTCACAGGTATGGCCCCACTTGGCCTTCCTGATGCTGCCCACCCTTTGAGTTCCTCAAGGGCAGGGCTTGTGTCCCAGAGCCAGCTGCTCACCCGTGAGCTCCTGGAAGGAAGTGTAAGGCTTCATGCCAAACCTCTTGCGGTATTCATTGAAGGGCTGCAGCCGCAACTCTCGCGATTCTTTGATGACCTCTACGGCCACATGCAGGACATGGTGGTCTATGTTCCGGCCACCGCCAATCTGCCAAGAGACAAGCACAGCTGAGGTCCCACAGCCAGGCCAGGCTACAAACAAGCTCACATGTCCTGTCTCAGCTAGGATAGAGTCTGACACAACCTAGCAACTACAAGGCTGGGTCGATGGCCTCATTCTACATCAGTCACTCTCTCTCATGACCCCCCTCTGAGTGTCCAGTGAGGAGTGGGCCATTAGGACTCCTCTAGTGCCACTCAAGAACTTTCCCTAGTCCTTTGCATTGCTCCCCTATGAAGGGAGGGAAAATAGGGGTCAGGGCCAGGCAACCTGATGAGAATAAGAAGTCTCCAGGAAAAGGTTTTCATTCTTGAGTGGAATAATGGGGCACACCGGGAAAAGTTGCTGCTTGGGACCCACATTCCATGGAGTCTCGTGTCCTCTGCTTCCAATCCAGTTTCCTATCAACGTTCCTGAGAAGATGGCAAATGATAGCTCAAGAATCTGGGCCCCCATCACCCTCATGGGAGACAGGAAAGGAGTTTCTGACTCCTGGCTCTGTGTTAGCCCAGGCCTGGCTGGCGCAGCCATCTGTGTAGCAAACCAGCTAAGTTCCCTCTCCCCATATCTCTCTGTAACTGTGCCTTTTAACTAAATAGAGGGACCTTTTTTTTAAAAAAGATTGCACTCTATGACAGCTGAGGACCATTGGTCTAAAGAAAACTCCACCACTTCGGAAGAAACGGTAATGTTACCTGAGGAGAGAGCGCTCTCTGACAGAACATGTGTAATTGGGGCAGGAACTCATATTCCTTGGAGCAAAGCGAACAAGGACTGGCACCAATCCCAGCCCAACCATTTTCCAGGTGTGGGGCTGCTGTGGATTGAATTGTATACCCCACAAGGATGTTTTGAAGCCTAATATCCAGTACCCGCAAATAGGATCTTATTCCTAAACACGGTAGTCTCCCTTTACCCAGTTTCACTTTTTCTTTATTAATTACATTGTATTATGTGACACTATTTTATAAAGGTATTGGGATTCCTCCCACCCCTCCTCTGACCCTCCCCCCATGGTGGATTCCTCCACCTTGTTGCATAACCACAGTTCAAGTTCAGTTAGGATTCTTTCATGCAAGCACATACCAAGCATAGAGTCCAGCCTCTTATTGCCCAGATAAGTTCAACGGCTTGTTGGGAAGACCATTTCTGGTCTGAAGGTAGAGCCAGCAGGGTATCACCCCGATCAATTAAAAGTCCCAACGTAACAACAGCAAAAATTTATAACATTATGGAATTAATTGACATAGTTTTTTGTTTTGTTTTGTTTTTATTAATTACACTGCCAGTTTCACTTTCTGCAGTCTCACTTATCAACAATCTACCACGGGCTAAAAACGCTAAATGGAAAATTCCAGAACTACATTATGTAAACACTTTCAATTGCACACTATTCTGAGTAGGGTGATTAAATCTGTGCCAGCCCTTCCTCTCCTGCCCCAGACATAAATCATGTCTTTGTGCACCATAGACACAGCACATACCCTACCTCTCCTGTAAGTTACTTGGTAGCCTTTTCACTTTTCAGATCTGGTTTCACAGTGCTAGTGGTCACAGTCTTACGTCACATCATAAGCTCAACATCATCCCCCTTGCTTCATCGCATCACAAAGGCATTCTAGATCATTTCACATCATCAGCTTCAGAGGAAGGGTCAAGACAGTAAGGCAAGGGGCCACATTCACACAGCTTGACTTGCAGTATATAATTGCTCTGTTATGCTATTGTTGTTCATCTGTTATTGTGCCCAATTTATAAATTAGACACTGTCATAGCATGCATGCATTGGGAAAAAACACAGTACATAAAGGAGTTGCTACTATCTCCATTTTCAGGCATCCATTGGTGGTCTTGGAATATGTCCCCCTTGGGAGAAAGGAGGACTGTTGTGGAGTTCTCGCAGATGTAGGCAAGTTAAGAAGAGATTGCGTTGTAGAAGGTTGGGCCCTAATCCAGTAACTGGGAGTCCTTGCAAGATAAGAAGAGAGACACAGGGAAACACACCCCAGGAGACACTGAGACTGGAGTGAAATATCTGCAAACCATCCCCAGTAGCTGAGAGAAAGCCCTGGAACGAACTGTCCCCTCCCTAGGGCCTTCAGAGAGGGTGTGGCCTTGTTGACAGCTTAGTTTCCAGCTTCTAGTTAAAGAACTGTGACGGAAGACAGTTTCTGCTGTTTAAAACCATGCAGATGGGGATATTTTGTGACAGTAGTTCTGATTGAAAGAAGACAGGGACCTCAGACAGTGACTTAAATCCCGAGGTCCTTCATCACGCAAATAATGGGAGGTTTGGGGACATCCTCCTGACATGGTTGTAGCCAAATAAGCCAGACAAAGCATGTGACACCATTGTCACCATGTCAGGTACATAACAGCCCCCAACAGGGAGGTCACATATGAAGATTACTGGGGGAAGCTGCCCGCTGGTGGTGGCACGTGCTAACTTCAGGATAGCTGAGTCCAAGTTCACATAGTGCAACTTCAAGAAGAGGTCTAGGGACGAGGACAAGAGAGAAGCAAGGGGATGGGAATGAGGGGATCAGGCACTGAGGTGGTGAAGATGGGAGGTTCCAACTGGGGAGGAGAAAGGAGGTGTAAGAGAGAGTTGATTGGAAATCACAGGGAAGGAGGCAATGGTTGTCTGCTGGGGATGGGGGGGGGGGTCATGACAACACTACATCCAAGGGGGCTGAGATAACACAAGTTTTATTCCCCACCATGTGAGGTTGAGAGGCCAAGTACAAAGTGTCCACAGGGTGGCGTCCCCCTAGGCTTCTCCTCAGTTTACACATGATCTGTTCCCCTTGCATCTGTTCTCGCTCTCCCCTCTGCGTGTGTCTTGTCCATGATCCTGTGTTTACAAGGATGCCTGTCACACAGGGTGAGGGCCCAGCCTGGTGACCTCACACAGCTTCATTCCCTCCTCCAAGAGCCACTCACACAGCAAGCTCCTGGAGGTCAGGACTTCAGCAGTGGATTTGAGGGGACACACAGTTCAGCCCCTCCGAGGTTTCTGAATTTGTAAGCAGTGAGAGGTGGATGAAGTAGTGCAGCTGGTTAAAGGCCCTGCTGGGGACACCTACATTACCTAATGAGGTGCCTGGTGCCCATCCCAGCTAATTTCCTGCGAAGCACCATTTGGTGACTCCAAGTATTTTAGTCTCTGCCACCACTATGGGAGACCCAGATGAACTTCCTGGCTCACAACTTTGGCCCGGCCAAGTCCTGGCTGCTGAGAACATAGAGTAAGTAAACTAGTATATGGAAAATCTTTCTCTCTCTATGCCGTTCAAATAAATATATCAGCATTTAATAAAGCATTTTCACATACGTCCCCATACCCTGACTATCCACCTACTCCTCAAACATCTGTGACCTCTAAACTCCGGGCCTTTGCCCGTGCTGACCTCTCTGTCTGAAATACAACCATCCTTGGCTCCCAACACAACCTCTTCACCTGGGAAATCCTGACTCCTTTCGGATTTCTGCCATGACAACACCACTTCCTCACCCATAATCCCCAACTATCCAACTCCGAATTTCCAAAGCACTGGGAGCTTCTTGACATATGATTCATTTTTTTTTAAATCAGGGTGTCTGTAAGGTTGTGTTCCAACTGAGAATTCTTTTTCGTTAGTTTTATTTTTTATATATATTTGAAAGATAGAGAAACAGAAAGGAATAGGAGCTTACAAATAGCCTCTATCTGCTGACTCACCTCTCAAATGCCCACTGGGCCAGGTGCAAGCCAGGAGCCCTAAAGTCATTCACATGTCCCCCACTGGGGGCAGGGACCCAAGGACTTGAGCCTTCACCTGCCACCTCCCAGGGTGCACACAGTAGGAGACTGGAACGGCGGCAAGGATGGGACACAAACCCAGGCACCCCAGTGTGAGATAGTGAAATAACCATCGCACCAAATGCCAATCCCTGCCTCAGGGGTCAATCCGTGTGATAATTCTCACAAGACCTGCAAAGCCCTGAGCCCACAGGAAGTGCTTACACGACCTTAGCTGTCATTCACTTATCATCCCTTCCTAGGGTGTAACAGCCAAAGGACCAGGACACAGCAGCCACTTCAGGCTTGCTTGACACTATCTCCCCTGGCACTTGCAGGGAAGCTTGCTGTGGCTGTGTGAACAGCTGTGCCAAAGGATCCAGGGAGGAATGCCCACACTGACCAGGAGAGGGGCAGCCGGGCCACAACCCCATTTCACAGCAGAGGAAACGGGAGTGCAGCTCCAGAGCCCAGCTGCCCTCAGCAATGCTCCTCTGAGGCTTACCCGGCCAGCATTCTGGCGTGAGAAGGAGTCCACCAGAGCCTCGACGCCGTAGTCCACCAGCATGGAGGTGTTGAACAGGAACTGCTCGTAGCTGTACTCCTGTGACCCCACCTTGAAGGAGTCGGGCATGAGCGGATGCCAGTGATAGAGCTGGTTGAACTCCATGGCGATGCGATTGCGGTACTGGAACTGGACGCTGAAAAGCATCTCAGGGTCGAACTTGAGCTGGAAGAAGTAGCCACTCAGCTGCTGCACGTACTCCTCGATGACAATCTTGATGGTCTCCCCTGCAGGGGAAATGAGGGACAGAGATGCAGAAGAGGCTTAGGGGCACATAACCGCCTGCTGGGAAAGCACTTGCTTTTGATCTTTATTATCACTATTGTCTCCACTTTGTGGGCCACGTCCACTTTATCTTTCTATCGTGGGATGTGAAAATGAAACTTCCTGTCCTGGATGAAACTACGCTCACAAATAAGAGCACCAGCAACTATCCTATTCTAAATGAAGGTTCTCGATGCTCCTGCTATGGCCAAGCAGGATTGGAGAAAGAAGGGGCCCAGGAACTGATATTGTGATCCTTGAAGAACCACCCACCCACAGCCTGTGACAAAGAGATGGGGGAGACCATGAAAGACGGGGAAGTGGAGTGTGATCCTAGGGAGGGTGACATTCCATTGACACCTCCAATGTGGAGGTGATTTGGAAGAAATCACTCAGATGCAACCAAGGTGGGACAGTACGGCCAGACGCAGAGCCTAATCCTAAACACATCTCAGAGGAAGTCTTTCTTCTGTCTGAGTTCTGATCACCAGCTTCTGCCTCTGCCCCTCTGGAAGCAGTTACAGAGCAAGCCAACCTGGGCAGAAGTAAACAGGCATTGTGTAACAGAAGGATAACTGCTCAACCAGATAAGGACAGAAACCACATTTTGCTCAACGGACCCAAAGCAACAGAACTCAGAACCAGCAGGGCTGGGCCCACGGCCTGGCTGCACCCCCTCCAGCAGCCAAAACCCAGGCTGGGATCCTTCATCTCTAGGACCCTGGCTTTACTCATCTGGAAACCAGGCACTTGAGCAATGGCAGCAACAGTATCTGCAGGATCATGATAAAGAACAGACAAGGACTGCATCTGGAGCGTGGGGCACAGGGCCTATCCATGCACGTGAGGCAGAAGTGGGAGGCTGAGTGCAGCAGTGAAAGACAAGAAACCCCCTCCAACCCACCCACACTCACCCCTCACAGCCATTCAGCCTCGGGAAAGCATCCCTCAAGAACTTGAGTGGCAGCCAGATCTTGTTCACATCTCCGTCTGCACATGACCTTGGACAGTCACTTGGCCCTGCTCATTCTTAGTTTCTGCCAAGCTTACATCACACCTGATCCATCAGGTGATTAGCAAAGCCCTCGACATGCAGAGTCAGGAGACCTGCTCTTGGTGCAACTTCATCACCACCCCTTGGTGCTGGGCATCTTCCAGCCACTTATTTACCCTCTCTGGTCAAGGTCTCTGCAATGTTGGCCCATCAGAGTCAGCCCCTCTGCCGTCCTCAGGTTGTTTCTATCCCTGATGCCTGACTCTTCCAGGTACCAGTGAATCAGGCTCTATAATTGGGACCAGCCACATGCCCAGCAGTGCCCAGAAATCAGGAGAGGAAATGAGTCAGAACCAACATGGCCTGTACAGGAGTGTCGGGGGCCAAGTTCCTAGGCAGGAAACCATCTGACATTTCAAGTCTCAGACTAGCGCCCGGAGGGGACACAGAAATATCCTGGACTGAGGCATCCAGAAGCTACCGCACGCCAGGAAGACATAAGGCACACACAGAGCAGGAAGCATGTAGATTCCCAAAGGCTGGGCAAGCTGGAGTTTGACCCTGCACATGGCTTGGGGAGTCACGCACACGACCAAGTGCAGCCACGACCAAGTGCAGCGTGTGTAATGGGGGAACTGAGGTTAGGCGTGGCCAGTCCCAGCTGCTGTGTATCACCCAGCTAATAAGCAGAAGGCCTACAAGAAACCAGGCACCTTCCCCTTCACTTAGCATCGTGACAAATCTGCAGCCAGTGTGCACCCCAGGGAGATGTTTGCAGAGAGGAGCCTGCTCAGGTTAGCGCGCTGGCAAGCAGAAGGGTCAGGAATCCAACCCTAGGTCTGTGAGGGGTGCACCCCATGCTGTGGCTGTCTCTGGAGCTGGCCCAGAGCCCTCACCTATGAGGATGAGGCGGGTGGTCTGGAAGAGCTGTTCATCATCCCAGGTCGGGTGCTCGGCCTTCAGCAGGTCACACACACGGTTGTGTTCACGCAGCCAGATTGTAGCGTAAAGCATGAGTCCCGGCAGCAGCCCAAACACCTCCTGGCCCACAGCCATCTGGCTTCGGGCCGGGACACCCTTGGGGTAGTGCATCAACACAGGCACGTCTTCCACCGACGGCGGGTACACCTCTCCATCTAGCACCTGCGGGATGGGACACTGAGCCACCTGGGGACCGCAGGACCTCTGGCCCCAATTTCCTCAATTTCCTGCGTCCAGTTGGCCCCTCCCCCAAACCCTCAGGTTAATCCCCCAGATGCCGGGCTGTCTTCCGCCATCCTACTCCACTCTATTCTTCCCTTCTGGCCTGACTCCTCTACATAAGTAGGTTCCCTATGTCCACCCCACTGCTGGACAGTCCATTCATACAAGCAGATACTACTAGACTCTGACTTAAATCTCTTCCATACCCTCTCTGTTCTCGGCAGACATCGGATCTCCTTCCACGGCCTCTGCCACCCTCACCTGGAGTCATTCTCACCTCCACCACCAGGTTCAGCAAACACATGTCCAGGATGCTCCCTCTGAGCACTCCAGCTGCTCCCCAGCACCCAGCCTTACACATGAGCCTTCCTTGGGTAGACCCTGCCCCTTCTTGGCCTCCCTCGTGCCTTCTCCTCCTCTTTTCCCAAAAAAACTCTAACTTTCCCATCCCCTGAAGACTCTGGTAGCACCCACTGACTTCTCCTAGCTAGCTTCTCCTCGGTGACAGGCATCACAATGGGTTTGGTTCTTGTGTATTGAGATTTGCTAGCTCCAATATGGGTTGTAGCCAGCAGACATGAGCAGCTGCTGTACGAGAGTACTAGAGAGCTGGCTATCATGGATAAAGAATTTTACTGGATTTTATTTCATTTTTATTTTATTGATTTAGACTGACATTTTTATATTTTTATGCATTTATTTTTACTTGAAAGACACAGAAATGGACAGGAGAGAAAGAGAGAGAGAATCTTCCACCCACTCCCCAAAAGCCTGCAACATTAAGGGCTGGGCAAGGCCAAAGCCAGTGTTGGGAATATATCCAACAGGATAGTTGGGACCGCAGAGGCCTGTGGGATCCTGTTGAGAAGAGGCTCCAGGAAAGAGGAGGTGGAGGGTCTCTCACCCAGAGCGCACTCTTGCCCCCAGTGAGTCCTTGGATATGTTCTCATGCTTCCCTGATATATGGTGAACGTCTGTGCTTAGTTAGCCAAACATCCTAGATCAAAGTAGTGCTCCTTATCAATACCTTATCAATATCTTATCAAATGGTGCTTTGATTCTGGTGCCTTGTTAGCTCTCCTGGAACACCCTGCATTTCACACATGTGACAGGAGTTGTATATCAAACCTGATCATTGTAACCGTTGTCTGAGCTGAACTATGTTTGAAGTGTTGCTTTGCTGAATGTATGTAAACTGGAACCCTGGAAATAAACTTTGTCAGTTGCCCAAGAGAACGCTCTCCCCCCATTTCTTTTTGGTCACATCTCCCCGGGAACCCACAAGGTAAACTTGAAGCCAGGAGCCAGGAACTCAAGCCAGGTCACCTACATGGGTTGCAGGGACTCATGCGATTGAGTTCCACGTGTTACCTCCCAGGGTGTGCATTAGCAGGAAGCTGGAACCCCAAGCAGAGCTGGGACTTGAACCCTAGATGAGGCCATCCCAGGTGGCACATCAAGCACCACACCACCAAACACCTGTCCCAAGATCTACCTTGGACAACTGATACTCAGCTATTGGCAAACCTTCATGTGTGCTTGCAACAACCTGAGCACAGGGAATCTATTTAGTCAACTCTAAGTTTTATAAAATACAAATATATGTACAGATCAGTTCTTTCCAAGGAAAATTTAGCATCCTAATTGAAATGTCCTGCAAAGTCAGACCCAATGTTTGAAGACTGATCACGACAGAGAAGGTTCAATCTTATGAACACATTTTAGATGGATGCATATATTAATACTCCCAACACGTTGCATTAACTGTAAGAAGTCATTAAAATACATCTTATCCTTGGGTTATTTTTTACCTTTTTTTCACCTTTGTGGTCATTGTTATGAGCTTATTTCCTAATGTTTAAACAATTATATTTTATAACTTTATTAATATAAATAGCAGATTTCAGGTATTTCATAGATGCAGTTCTAAGAAGATAGTCATATTTCCCTTTCCCACTCCCATCCCCCCTTCTCCTTTTTAGTCTTGTGAACATGGCTGACAGGACATTTAATTACATGCATGACCCACGTGGTACCTCCACTGAACCATGTTGGGTTAGACACAAAGACCTCATGGAACTGAATCCCAGCGCTTGTGTGGCCCCATGTGGCAGCCACTGTCAGGCACCCTGTGTCCCCAGTTAACACCGTGAGGTAGTTAAATGAATGCTGCAGGCCACAAGCAACCCTCTCGTATTGTGTCTAAGAGCTCAGGTCTGCCACTCATGGGACTCTCACGTCTGCCGTGCTGTTCCTGGGAGTTTATTGCCTCTTCTCCTGGTACAATGAAACTAATCCTCCCAGGACATGACCCAGGACCCCCTTGCAGCCTCTGCTAGTGGAGACCCAAGGGACCATTCCCATACCCTTACACCACCGCCCCTCAGGCCAGTCCTACCTGGTACTTGAGTTTCCCATCCTTAAAGAGACGCAGATGATACTGGCGTTCTAGATTGTCCCCATAAATGTGGCCAAGGTCCACCTGCCAACGGAGAGGGTTTCACTGGGATGATTCGAATCCCAGCAATGACCTGCACCTGCCACATTAGGTCCAGGGTGGTCCTGAGCCCCTGCCCAATTACTCACCCCATGGCCCAGGGCTTTGGTGAAACCTGGACCCATTTTGCCAGAAGTTTTGAAGAACTGATGGGTGAAGTGTTGTGCAAAAAAGGCAAACATGAGGTTGGTGCCTTGGGGGTCAGGGATGAACTTCCTCCTGAGCAGGAAGCGGCGGCCCAGGACCTGTGGATCTGGCAGTTGCTTCTTGCCTGGTCAGGGAGGTAGGAAAGAGCAGCAGCTACCTCCTGCATCGATCTTCTGGCCTCACCAGCAAAAAGTCAAGCAGGAAGCCGGAATAGGCTGCTTAGAGCCATCTCTGTCCCTCCCTCCCCCCCCACCAGAGCCAGGCAGAGCAGCCCCTGTGTTCTAACAAAAGATCCAGGAGCAATGTGTTGATGACCAGGATTGCAACTGGCCTTTGCCACAGAGAGGGGACAGCAGGAAGAAGGTCTGCAGACGGTGGTGGGCTAAGTTCTCGAACTGGGAGACAGCACAAACATTCATCATACGCTCCTGTCTGTTTCTATGCACATTTGTCATTTTTCCCATGGGGGGGGACGGGGAATGTAGTGGAATAAAAAGGAGATAAGAACAGAGATAACTGGACCTGGCCAAGTCTCCTGTGCTTGCCACCAACTGTGTCGTTTGCCAACTGTGTCAAACGACACATAGAGGAGTCATCTTATCTCTCAGAGCCTCAATTTCTTCTATTGGTAAACCAGATGGTTTCTGTTTCACACAGTGGCTTTGTGTACAGTGTGGCAAAGGAGGCATGACAGAAATCAGGGAAAGCTTGGTATTCAGCTTGGCAGTGAACACACTGCCTGAGACCCCTGGGTTTGAGTCCCACTCTGCTTCTGATTCTAGCTTCCGGCTAATGCATACACTGTGAGGAGGCAAGTGGGGCTACCCATGGGGGGACCCAGGTTGCTCTCTAGCCTCCTGGCTTTGGTTGGACCCGTCCCCAACTGCTTTCAGCATTCAGAGAGTCAACCAATGGCTGGAGAATCTCTCTCTGAGAACAAGTATGGAACTTATAAATCAAGGCTCAGTGAGTTTGTTTTGTGAAAATCCAGAGAGCAAACACATTAAACAGGGCAGAGCCTGTGCTCAGCATCATACCCACCCAGCAGGAAGGCAGTCAGGGGTGACCAAGAAACAAACAAATGCATGTGCAAAAGCAGGGACTGGATCCCAATGAGCCTGTAGGACAGTTTGCCAGTATAGCTTATTTTTAAAATTTTTATTAATCTATTTGACACAAGCAAACAGAGGTAATGCTTGCTGGTTCACACCCCAAATATACACAATGGCCTGGGGGCTGAAGCCAGGATCTGGAACGCAATTCAGGTCACCTAGGCAGGTGGCGGGAACACAACTGCTTGAGCCATCACCTGCTGCCTCCCAGGGATTGCATCAGCAGCAAGCCGAGTCAGGAGCCAGAACTGCAACTCCAACAGACACTCAAATAAGGAGCATCTTCTCTAGCATCTTAACCACTGGGCCAGATGATGGCCATGCCTACCTATTTTAAATGCCTTCAAGTAGGCATCCACTTGAAGTGAGTGTCTCGCACTATGAATGTTGACAGAACTTTCCTGTCTATGTTTATGTTGGAGAAGTTGGCACCCAGGAAGGAATTAAGAGAAGTTGTTTGCTCTTAATCAAAGTGTGAGTGAGATGCAATTTTCCTGGCAGTACAGTTGGGATGTTGGAATGGTAGCTAATCATGTGAGTGAAACCTTCAAAATAGATTATAAACAAATAATAACAATAAGAACATCCAGAAGAAACACCTGTTACACATGCAAGGTGCTGAATCGGCTCAAGCATAACCACAGAGCTGCACAGACCCAGTGTTCAACAGCGCTACCATGTGGCCATAACCAAAATAACAGCAGCCATGGGTACTCTGGTTTCCTCTGTTTTCTTAACTACTTTAAAGTGATGGCTCTAGACTGAGGCCCAAGGTGTGGAATGATAAGAAGGCCTTGGGAGAAAAACCCCTATCAATGAGACCAAGTGAGGTCCTGGGTAAATAAAGAAAAAAAAATGGTGGACTTCTCTGTAATCCACCCTGGAGAAGCATGCAAAACTATCTAATGGTGAATAATTAACCCATGATTCCATCTTTCCAGGGTGCCTTTCTACGAGGCACCTGGAAATGGGAGCTGTGAGCCAGAGTAGGATGATCTCAGGCAAGACCCCATGCTGCTTTTCCTATCCTCAGCCTTGGTCCTGGACATAGCCTACACCTTGCCTAGTCCACCTGTCTGTGAAATGGGTCAGTACTCCAGTGTTTTTCTGCCTGCTTCCTCCCCAAAGAATAGCTGAGTGTCTCCTGTGACCCTTCCCTGCCCTGCTTAGGTCCAGCTCACCTCTAGTTCCCATGGGCGTGGGGCAGTCCTTGGGCACCGAGGGCAGGATGCGGGTGTAATAGCTCACATTGGAGAAGGCCTCCCAGCTGATATAGTCATATGCTAAATTGTAGGTAGGTGGGCTGGGAATCAGGTTGGACCGCACTGCAGAAGATGAAAGCGACTGTGAAACGGTGCTTCCCCCACCTTCACTGCCCCCGTCCCCAGCCAACCCCACCCCAACACACACACACACCTCTAGCATTCGGCAGGACTCCTGAGAACTAGCAGGACTGTCCCTATCTCCCACTCTCACACCCACCTGTGAGCACCAGACGCATGAGCACGTCCCGGATGAAGGTGGCATTGACAAACTCCCAGAACCAACGCACGTGCGTGAGCAGGAAATGGATGAATGTGGGGCTGGGCCGCAAGGAACTCCGCAGCCAGGTCCAGAGCTCAGCTGCAAGTGTGACAGGAGCCTCTCAGTTGGGACCCACTCAGAAGTAGGACCAGAAGTAGCTAGGATGGAGGCTAGGGGATGAGGACCAGCAGGGAACAGGGCAGGGGCGAGGCAGTGATGGCAGGCGACAAAGTCAGGGCTCAAGAGCTCAGGCAGGAGGCAGGTCTGGAGGTGGGGTACGGGAGGGGGAGCCCAGGGAGCAGGAGATTGCCAGGGTGAAGGGGTGGGCACTGGAAGCTCAGCTCACGGATGGTGCAGTTGGGGCCAGAATAGCCCGTGCGGGTACAGTCACACTGGTAACGGTCAAGGGCAATGCGGACGCAGACACCCTGGTGCTGACATGGAAAGTAACAGCAGGGATTCACTGTGGGTGAGAAATACGGTGATCAGAAGCCATGTTGCAGGACAAGGGCCTGCTGAGCCCCAGCCAGCCCCCGATGGGGAGGAAGGGGCCAGTGACATTCATGCAAGCAGTAGTTCTGTCCCATGTCCCTGGACTCCAAGATCCACTAAGGGCCCTCGCTGGTCACTTGTGCTGCCATGGCCAGGCCCTGCACTGGGCCCCACCCACACTGGGTCCCCAGGGGAAGTTCTCTTTCTCCTTCCTCCCTCCCCACCGCCACCAAAGAGGAACAGAGGAAGACTCCAGACCCCAGGGTGTGAGCATGAAGGAGACAACCGATAAGACACTGGCTGCAACCACAGGCTTCTAGATCATTCACTTCCTGCTCACACAAAGAACAGAAGTAGTGAGGACATGGTTTGTGGGGTTCAAAAGAGGGGTAAGCGTGGGAAAGGGGCTGACCCCCAGCTCTGAGAAGCGAGATCTCACACCTCCACTTGTGCCACAGGAGGTGTGGGGTGGGGGTACAAGCAGAACACCTGCTTGGCTGGTGGGGAAGCTCAGGGTAGAGACAAGGTCACCCAGGAAGCCAGCCCTGGCTGTCCATCCCTTCAGCTCCAGCCCACCGCTCTGGACTCGACCATCCCAGCTGAGGAAAACCATCACCCTCCACCCTGGGAACGGGCTCAGGTCTGAGTCTCACGTGGCCCAGGTCAGGTTGGAGTCTGGCTGTAGGGTCCTGAGGAAGGTGTGGCCATGGGGAAGGTGAGAGGTAGTCCCCATCCACCCTCCTGTATCCTGGACAGTTCTACAGGAAGCCCCACCCTGCTCCTAACCCAGACCCCTCTGACCCCTGCCCTCCTGCTCACACCTGCTTGACCTCTGGTTGCTCAACAGCCAGGTGAGAGGCTCTTCAGGGTCATGGCGGGGGAGGGTAAACTCTCCCCCAAGCCCTGGCAGAGCCCCACTCACCCACCCAGCAGGAGCCTTCTGCCCTGGCCACGCACAGAAAATGCCAGAATGTTTTCTGCAACCACGTTTCCTGATCTGAGCTCAGAACCCAAGCTACAAGAACTAATTATAGGAGATCAAGAGAGTAGCAAAAGGCAAGAACAGCCTGGGACTCCCCCACCCTACCCCTAACCAGTCCTCTTGGAGTACTGCAATCTGCGGGATGACCCGGACAAGGTCTGACCTGGGGTGTCCAGCCCATCACTTCCTCCCAGGGAACTCAGGGTCCCTCCTGCCCCCACTTCCTGCCACACACTGAAGAGGCCCTCTGTACTGCCCGTCCCCTTCCACACACACACACACATGCACAAGCAAAAATGGCCAAGAATCACGCAAATAGCTTTGCTTAATGCCTAGCACGACTCCACTACTACCCCCACAAGTCCATCTGGTGTGGCCTGGGCAGTGGTGAAGGAGGGAGGGGCTGAGGGGAAGAGTGTTAAGCACAAATGCCTTATCATGCTGCTACAGGCAGGCAGGCGGGCGGACCTGGCCAGAGGGACCCAGTCCAAGCACCCAGCCTCCGGCTTCCACGGCCCTGGGCCCTGCAGCAGTTTCCAGGGAGCCTCCCGACCAGCCCTGCTGCAGCTCTCCCCGTCAGTCCCTCCTGCCACTCTGATCTGCCCAGCATCCAAATGAGGCTCCCAGCACCCCTGCCCCAGGCTGCCATCGGAGGCACAGAGGCTGAATCCCAGGCCTCCCAGCCTCTATCCCCCCTCGTCCTGCCGCAGCTGGGATCTCAACACCCACAGCGCAAGCATGCTGCAGATACCCCTTCTCGAGTCTCAAAGCCTGACGCCGAATTCTTTCCCTGACTCCCCCCACCCCTAAATGTCTTCACTAACTCTCCATGCCCATGCCAGCCCTGGCTCTGGCCCTTCTCCACCAGGAATGACCAAGAGAAGGGACCCCCACCTTCCCTGACTTTCTCCGTCTCCTGGGTACAGGCTGTGTGTGCACAGCCAGGGCTCAACCTTGCAGTCCAGATGTGTTGGCCAGAGTTGAACAAACGTCTGCACAGCTAAGGCAAGGACACAGGCAGCTGGGCCCGAGAGATCCCTGGTCTTCCTAGATGACGGCAGATCTGACCTGAGGGTTTCCAGATGTTGAGGCTGTTGCCCACCACCCTGTCCTGCCAAGACAGGCCATGACAGAGGTGCAGCCCTGCCCCCGTCACGGTCCAGCTTTCCCTCCCTCCTCCTCCACATTCTTTCCATAAACACCAGCTGCCCTCAGGGCAGGAAAAGTTCTCCCCAGCCAGGGCAGCAGGAGCTGCCACTGATCCAAGGTCCAAGGGCGTCAGGATGGGTGGAGAGGAGACTGACCATCATGGTCAGCCGGGGGGATGGCAGCAGCTCCAACAGACCAAATCCAAGCCCACAAGCTAGTACACCTGCCCCAGGAGGAGGGTCTGTCTCCAGCTCCATGATGAGGAACTCAAGGCTCAGAGAAAGCAGCCTCACCCAGGCTCCACGTGTGGATTTCATCTCCTTGCCCTCCCTGCCCAGACCAGGGTTGCCAGAGTGATCTCAGGTGAGGTAGGGATGGCCCCCTCTCCTTCAAGGTGAACATCAAAGATGCTGAATGAACAAGATTACCCATATTCTGTGCCACAAGCAGACCTCCAAGAACTGCTATAGAAAGGCCTTCCTTCTATCCCACTTCAATTCTATATGCTTTCATGCCAACATGGTTCTGTGCAGAGGACATCCCCAAATCAACAAGAAAGAGAGCTGGAGAGAGGCAGACACCTGGTCAGTCATTCTGAGTCCCCCACACCCAGCCCAGGTCCTTGGGCCTCGCTTCTGAGTCTCTCACTGAGAAGATGCTCCCATGAGGCTTCCATTTAAGCCTGTCTCTCCCCCCAGCCCTCCAGGGAATTGCAACAATAGATTCCAGTCCCCACCCTGGCCCATCAGCCGAGACCCCTACAACCTAGGGCCAGGCTGATCTGTACAACCACACTGCCACGAGACCTGAAGCCCGGGCAGCTGGACTGTGTCCTCATAGACTGTCTGTGACTTCCTGGCTCCAGATCGCTCCAAAGATCTGGGCAAGGAAATATCCTCTCCCCGACTCCACCCCACCGCCCACCCCATTCCCCAGACTGCAGGGGGGCGAGATGAGGCTCCAGGCTCAGGGCTGAGCATGACAAGGGGACAGACACGACCAAGGAACACCAAGTTCTCTGGGCTGCGGAGGCGTTAGGCTCCAAGAAGGTCAGTTAGAGAGGTCAGCCCCAAATCCCCTGAGAATAATATTTAGAAAAGCTCAGGGGCCTCATGGCCCAAGAGAAAAACAAGGTCCCTGAGCAGCTGGGTCTGGAAAAGGGAGGCCAAGCCTTACACCTTGGCTGGGTAGGCAACTCAGGGTCAAAGGCAGTCACCACTGTACCAGGTCCAGGCAGCTGGGCTCAGCAGCTGGAAGCCCTCCGCCCCAGCCTGGCCCTCCCAGCCCACAGCCCCAGCTGGAACTAGAGATAGGCGGCAGAAGAGATGGCTTGGCACTGGGATGGCTGCCTGAAGCCTCTTCACCTGGTACGCAGCTCTGGTCACCAGATCATGTCCCCTCACTGGCTCATGAGAGGGCACATGGCCAAGTGCAGGGGCTGGAAGGCTTGGTCATGCACATGAAGGATCCCCTGGCATGGCCCTGCCCTTCAGCCTGGACAACTGCTCCCCACAGAAGTGGGCACAGCGTCCCCTGCTGCCCCCTTCCTGCCCTGGTACCCTCATCTCCTATCCTTTGCTTCCCCTTGGGCAGATAGAGTGGGGTCGGGGGCAGAGGCAAACAACCAGCCCTTCAGCCCCCTGGGGCAGCTGCCTGGGTAGTCTGGGCCTCAGTTTACTTGCAGACTTGGAAACACAAAAGCATCCCCAGCCCTCCTGCCCCTACCACACCTGGCATCCTGCACCTGCTGAAGTCACCCTCCCCTCTTGGGTCTCCCATTCCCAGTCACCTGCAGCACACCCCCAGTGCCTCATCCTGCATCCCTTTCACCCAGCACCTGCCTCACAGCCCGCACATCCCCATCATCTGCCCTCCTGGCTCCCACCAGGAAGACCCTTTGTCCCATTTCCAAGTGAGTTCTCACCCAGCCCCTCCTCCTACAAGGTCTGGTCCAAACGTCACCACCTCCAGGAAGCTGCCTTCAACTCCTCACACAGACAGGCAGCTGTTTCCTTCCCTGAGCTCTGCAAACTGCCGTGTGTCCCTCAGCCATGACTCTGACCCTCTGGAGTCCCCCCTCTTGTAAGTGGCTCCAGCTCTCGGTCCTGGCAGGTGCCAGTGAGCGGGATGAGGTGAATCCCATGCTGACCTCCCCTGCTAACTGCAAACCAGGCCTTTGCTCCACTCAACAGTCTCTACCTTTCTGCCTTCTGCACATGCACCCAATTAAACCCTCTTCCTCAGGAATCCTGGTCAGACTTGCAGCCCACAGACATGTCTCTCTCCTCCGAGCCCCAGATCCACCAGGCACCACTGCAGAAGCTCAGGCTGCCCCTCCATGCCACTGTCCTCTCCTGGATCCCACCAGGGGCAGTAGGAACAGGAAGCCAGGTCCAGGCCCTGCTGGCTTGGCCAGGAGGAAAGGTGACTGAGAGAGGAGTAATCCCTCTACCTGGAACCCCCAGCACCTCAAAGAGGTGGAATTTTACGGATCCTGACTTTCTCATCCTCCTCTGGGCCAGAAGGAAGCAGGGGTGCACCGTGACTAGCAGAGAGGGGAGATTTCTGCTTCTGTCTGTTGGTCAGAAAGACCAGGGTTCAAATCCTGAGCTCAGATCCTGAACTTGGGGCCCTTGCTACACCTGTTCAGCTTGTTTCCTATTCAGCAGGTCCCCTGCTCAGTGAGGACCTGGCATACGAAGATTACACACCCCACCCCACCCCCCAGAAGTCAGCCGAGCTACAAATGCGTCTTTACCTCATCAATCTCCAAAGTTAGAGGTTGAAAAAAAGAGGGACTCTCTCTAAGATCTCTTCTGCCTCTCCAGGAAGCAGTTGGGGTCCGTTGGGACTGAGGAGACTTGAACAGCGGCAGGGGAGGGGGGAAAGGGCGGCCGGCCCCACCGCGTACGTTGGCAAGAGAGCCTCATCAGACTGCGAGCCAAGGCCACACCCTCGGGGGTCTATCCTGCCCCATCCCCTCCTCCCATTCCCAGGCGTTACAGGCAAAAAAGAGGAAACTAGGTTCAAAGGAGGAGTGAGGAGAGGTGGGGTGGGACTGGGGAGCTCCAGGGGCTCCCCGTGGCCTGGGAGGGGACCCTTACCCGGCGCGGGCGCTCCAGGAGCGGCGGGCAGGACCGGGAGCTGGGGCAACAACAGCAGTAGCAGCAGCGGCAGCACCCGGAGCTGGGACGAGGGGCTGCTCCCTGCAGGGAAGACAGACAGCGGCTGAGCTCAGCATTCAGGACCTCCCCTCCCCGAAGCCGTGAGTAGGGCTGGTGGGGTCGGACTCACGGTTCATGGCGTGGGGCTTGCTGACCGGCGCGGGACCCGGGCGGCCGGCTCCAAGGATGCTTCCCAACCAGCCGGCGCGGCCCGCCCCCTCCCCACCCATCCCACGGCTCCACCCACGCCCCTCCCTCCAGCTGTCACCTCGCCGCAGGCTCACTTCCTCTGCTCCCGCACAGCAGCCAAGCCGGTTCATGAATTGTCCCTCCGACGGCCACTAAAGCAACTTTTTGCCAGAGAGCCTGCAGTTTCCCACATGCCAAAGAGCGCTTCCCTTTGGCATGTGGGAAACTGAGGCTCAAATGCAATGTCAAGGTCTCCAGGGGCTTGGGAACAGGAAGAAGGCTGCTTAGCAGAGAGAAAGGGGGTGGTGATCTGCGCATGGGTTCAGCTGCTGGGCAGCCAGGTGGGGCTGGGGAGGCCTCACTCGGCCCTCTCAGGATCTCGGCTAATCACCGGGGAGATCTGAGTTCTCACCCAAATTCCACCCTGGACCGGGGACTCACCCTCTCTGGCCCTCAGTATTTCATCTACAAAATGGACATAAAGGCCAACAGCCGCCTCGGAGGTGACGCACCTGGCACACGCAGGTGCTTGGCTGCTGTCACAGAGGCCAGCCTAGGGGGAGGATGCTCCAAGCAGATACGGAGCCCACCAGCGACCTTGCAGAACCCAAGCCTCAGCTCCTCCTTTGCTTTTTCTTTTTTTTTTTAAAGACCTTTTTTTTTATTATGTGAAAGTCAGAATTACATGGAAAGGAGAGAGAGAGAAAGTGAGATCGCCCAACTGCTGATTCATTCCCCCAAGTGGCTACAACGACAAAGACAGGGCCAGGCTGAAGCCAAGAGCTGGGAGTTTCATCTGGATCCCGCACATGGATGACAGAGGCGCAGGGACCCGGACCGTCTCCTGCTGCTTTCCCAGGTGCATCAGCAGGGAGCACTATGGGACGCTGACATCACAGGCAGTGGGCCTGGCCTGGATCGTGGGAAAGCCTGGCAGGAGGGCTCTAAGGGCTTTGTGCCAGCTCTCAGGCATCCCCAGGCACGCAAAGAGACACGCCAGGTGGCAGACACCTGCCAGGGAGCCCCTCCCCCCGCCACCAACAGTTCCCATGCTCCACCGGGGCAAAAGCCAGCTTCCTTAGACAGAGCAAGCCAGGGCAGACCTATGATGGCTGGGGCCCAGGGGGACCAGGAACAGGGCTGCAGAGCTCAAGGTGGACACAGTGTAACCTAAGGCCAGGAGAGTGGACAGGGCCTAGGGGCCAGCGGAGCCTGACCAGGAGGGAGAAGTGGACGCAGTGGCTGACCTGGTGGCACTGGAATCATGGGAAGGGAGGAGATGGGCACCGAGGCCAGGTGGAGGTGATAATGCTGGCTGCAGGTGAAGTATGCACCTGGACCAGCTGAACAGGCTCCACCCCAGGGGGAGGAGCTCCAGCCACAGACACAGTGTGAGGTCCAGGCAGGCCTCATCCCAGCCCAGAGCTGCCATCCCTCCTCCTCCCCTAGAGCCCAGCACCTGAATGTGCGAGTACTTGCCAGCTTTCAGGGTGCTGCACATCCACTCACCGCACAAGACCCACTCCAGGGTCCCAAGAAGCTCCCTCCAGCATGCCCCCTCTGCCTGCTGTCTACAGGAAGCTCCTGTTCCCTCCCTGACCCCCGACAGTGACACCCTGTGCTGTCCCAGCCTCCCTCCTGCTGGGCGGGGAGCGTGGTGTTCCCTAGAGTTGGGCAGGTGGATGTCCATTGCTTGAGTAAGGAGGTGAATGAGCAACTACGAGCATAGAAAAAAAAAGAAAAAGAGCATTTCATGAGTGAGCAGAGAACCCCGGGGCGCCTCATCACAGCGACTGTCACCCAAAGGAACATGCTGCCTCAGTTTCCCTGCCTGTCCACTGTCCAGCATCCTCCACACACCTACAGGTCCAGCCCCTCTCAGCTCTGAGCCCCTCTCAGCATTGGCAGCAAAGACCCCTCCCACTTCCCTATCCAGATGGTCCCTCTCTCTATACCAGCCCCCATGCCCCCACACACACCTGTCACATGCACTCCCCGCACCCTCCACCACCACCATCACCAAGCCAGAGGCCAGAGCTGAGGGCCCCTGGACAGGTCTCATCCTGGCTGGGCTCCACCCTCGTCTGACACCCCAGAGCTGAATCACTCCCAGCCCCACCCAGCCCCACCTCTGCAAGCACTTCCCAGCCAGGCAGGAATGAGCCCAACTTCTCTGCCAATCCCAGCCTCCCAGCTCCTGGGGTGACCTGAAGCAGCCAAAAATCAATCAAACACCTTGGTGGGCCTCAGTTTTCCCATCTGTAACATGGGACTCAAGATTCCACTCTAACAGGAGTGAGTGTGTGTCTGAAGCCAGGTATTCTGAGAGGCCTCCTGAGCCTGCCGGGGTGGCCCAGGGTTACTTCCTGACCAGCCCTCCTGGCCATTCCCTGCCTGAGCAGGAGACTCCAATGACAAGTTCCCTTCCTCCTTGCCTATCCCACTGAGCACCAGGATAACAACAGCTTCTTTTTGTTGTTGTTGTTGTTGGGAAAACAGATTTATAGAGAGGAGACACAGAAAAAAAACGATCTTCCATCTGCTAGTTCAGCCCCCAAACGCTGCACAATGGCCAGATCTGAGCTGATGCAAAGCCAGGAGCCTCCCACATGGGTACAGGATCCCAAGGCCTTGGGCCACCATCTGTTGTACTCCCAGGCCATAAGCAAGGACCTTTATGGGAAACAGAGCATCCAGGACACAAACCAGTGCCCGTAAAGGATGCCGGCACTTGCAGGTAGAGGATTATCCAATTGAGCTATTGCACCAGCCCTCTAACTTTTCCTAAATATTTAGTGTGTGCCTGCAACTGGCAGGGTGCCACAAGTTTTGCATGCACTCTTTTATGTCGTTTTCTTCATGAAGTTGCTGCTGTCACCTGCATTCACAGAGAAAAACTCAGGACACAACATGGCGAACAGCTTGCTAGGAAGGTTCAGGTGTCAAGACCCAGTTGCCTCAGGTAGGAAACAGGGGTGCCCTGGGAGGGTGCTGGTTAGTGGGGGTACGGTAGAGGGGTGGCGACTCTGAGAAGGGAGAGGAACAGCTGTTGGACATCCCCTCCATGTGGAAGCCCTCACAGCAATGCCAAGAGGAAGGTATCAGGAACTTCCTCATGCAGCAGGGAAACTGGGGCTCCAGGAGCTCTCTGGGTCCCAGGGAAGGGCGTGAGGAGAAGCAGCAGCCCCCTGCAACCCTTTCCATCTCACAGCCCCAGGAGGTGGATTCTCTTCCTGTCCCACTTTCCTATACACAGGTCAGGCCAACTGATCTGCCAACAGCCACGGGCTAAGGGTGGCACCGCTGAGACCCGAAACCTGCGGGGTTTGATTCCAACAGTGTGAGCTCAGCTCCCTGCTATATCCCTTGTGGGTTTGTCTGCATGGCCAGCCCAGAATCTTGAAACAAACAGACAAATCCTGTCAGGGATAGGCCAAGAAGAAAGATAAACAAGGAGACTGGTGAGCAGAGAATTCCCACATTCGTCTCACGGGTTTACCCCTGCAGGGCCCCTGGCCCGCAGACCTTGTCAACAAACAACGGGCTCCAGGTGATTGGCACAGGATGGCCCCTTGGTCATGCCACTGGCATCCTCCCTGGCACGCCCTCACCATCAGCGTCATCTGCGTCGGCCGGGAGATGTTCCATAGATGATCCTTGTTGGACAAAATTCTATCATGAATCAGTGTAGAATTCATCCAATCCTGTCACTCTGTTCCCAGATATGCAGAGAAAAAACTGTATGTGACACTCAGAATCTGAGCAGGGAACAGGTACTGTGGCACGGAGTGTTAAGCCACCACCTGCCACTTTGGTATCCCATATTGGAGCTCTAGTTCAAGTCATGGCTGAGCTGCTCGCTGCTCATATGCCTGGGGATGCAGTAGAAGATGGTCCAAGTCCTTGGATCTTTGCTACCCGCACAGGAGACCCAGATGGAGTTCTAGGATCCTGGCTGCAGGCTGATGGCCATTTGAAGAGTGAACCAGCACAACAAAGATGTCTCCCTCTCTCTTCTTTTCTTTCTATCCCTCAGGCTTTCAGATAAAAAATAAACCTTTACATAGGAAATGGGGACAGGCAGGTGACAGCCTGGAGCATATAACACAAGTGCCAAGCCCAGAGCTTAAACCAAAACCAGGACGGGGCTCCTCTTCCCAGAGGACCAGAGTCCAAAGGGTAGTTAGTGGCTTGGACCTCTGGCAGTGCTTGGTCTTGCCATCAGAAATCCAGATTCTTTCTAAAATATTATTTATTTGAAAGGCAGAATTAGAGAGAGGGAGAGAGACAGAGACAGAAAGAACTTCTATCACTGGTTCACTGCCTAAATGGCTGCAATGACCAGAGCCAGGCCAGGTCGAAGCAAGAAGCCAGGAATCAGAAACTTCTTCAAGGTCTCCAATGTGGGTGCAGGGATTCAAACACTTAGACTATCCTTCAGTGCTTTCCCGGGCACACTGCCAGAGAGCTTGATTGGAAGTGAAGCAGCCGGGACTAGAGCCCATACCCAAATGTGATGCCAGCACTGCGGGTAGCGGCTTAGCTCACTATGCCACAGCATCTGTCTCTCTGCCTATGCTCGGAGTGCAGTGCACCCTGGCACTTGGCATCTCAGGTCCATGTTCCAAGCGGGAAAAGGCTGGGAAGGGAGTAGGCAGCCCAGCACACATCCAAGAGTACCTCTGTGCTCTGTAGCCTCACCCTGCCGCAAAGGAGGTTGAGCAATTAAACTTAGGAGCAGGCAGGCAGAGGACAGGGCGTTGAAGGTGGAGAGTGGGCCAGCCCACTCTCAGTGCGTGCCAGGCTTTTCCTGGCATGGGCCATGGTTTCTGGCACATGACTTCTCTGCAGACTCCTGAGGTGGGCAGACTTCTGTCCCAGTGCCCTGACGAGCTCTGGAACAAGAGCCACAGTGAGTCAAGGCAAGGAGCTTCTGAGAAAAGGCCGAATCCAAACCCCACACAGGGGACAGAATCCGAAGTTCAGAACAAGCAGGGGCGTGTCCAGCAGGCCAGGGAG